ATGCCGGGTGGGCCCGGGCCACGGCCTCCAGCCAATCAGAGCGCGGCCCGGCGCGGTCACTGCGGCCGGACAGCGCCCCCTGCCGGAATGACCGCTGTGCTGCCAGGCGGCCCAGCCCGGGACCGGGCGGCAGTGATCGTCGCGGGCATCGGGTAACGCGGGGGCGAGTCTCGCTGGCTGGGCAGGGCTCTGAGAAGGGATGCGGGAGGGGCCTCCCTACCGCTGCCCGTCACCTGCAGCACCCAAGTGTCCTGGCGTTCATGGGTGGAACCAGAAGACACCACTGACTGAGACAAAGCTGAATGCCGGTCGTTTACCGGAGACTTCATCTCAGGCCCTGGAGATTCGGGGGATCTATTTTTTAAAAATTATATAGATGTATGTGACATATGGTACGTACATAAATATATACATGTATGTGTGCGTTAAATAGTCTCTCAGCCTAAAACATAAATACCTATCCGTTTGCCAATATTTTGATGTACAGGTAAGACTTTTCTTACCATATAGGTTGACCATTTGGGGTTCCACGTTTTTCTTATACAAACTGCCCTCATGGGACATTACACTTTCCAGTTTCAGTTTACGGTTGAAGTGAGAACTTAAAGAGACAGCAAAGTGGTCTGAGTGCAGAACTTTCCAGACACCTGACTTCTCCCCAGGCTTTTACAGTTGTCCCCCCTCCCACACACACCCCTAATGTGACTGCCATTTTTTTCTCCATCAACGTGCCTTTAAGAAAGCGCTCAATTTAATTGCCATACAAAATTGCCAACAGCTCTTTTTTGCACACTTGCATTTCGTTACTTTTCATGACACTTATTTGAGTTACGGATGACAATAACCAGAACAAGTAGCATTAAAGGCACAGGAGGAAACACAGCAGGCCCTTGGTTGGGGTGCCCGTGGATGGGTGGGGACAAAAGTGCCCAGGGGAGGCCTGCAGAGCCATCCACTGGGCGAGGGCTTCCGTGGTAGGGCCACCAGCCAGTGTATTTTACAGACAGCATAGAAAGGTGGGTTGGTCAGCAAGTTGGTGCAGGGAAAAGCCCTTGAGAAAGCTTCTCTTGCTCTCCTTGCAACAGGCATGAGTCTAAACCACAAATGGGGCAGAAAATGAGACTTTGTTTCTCCAAAGACTCCACATTTTGTGAGGGTGGGGGGGTAGAAATTAATTTTTTTTATTTTTTATTTTTTATTTTTTGGAGGAATAGGAAGTCAGCTTTGGTTCAGGAATTACCAGTGATCCGAGGAGAGATGTTAGACAAACCCATCTCTGTGGTAAACCTAAAGGAGAATGGCCAGACTAAAACCATCTCAAAGGCTCAGGTTTACTGAGGAGTTTTTAAAGAGGGGGCTGAGGGAATGGAACATGGGAAGTGAAAAGCAGGAGGGAGGGGGATGTGAGCTGTGGGGGCTCCATGCAAGGAACCGGGTGCAAGGTCTCGCCAAGTCTCCCTCTGGTTTCTGGTCCCATCCTTAGGGTCCTACTGGATTTTGATGAGCTTCAGGGTGGAGTCAGCATAGCTTTATTGATGTCTTCTTTGGTTTCGCAGGGTCTAGATAGTATGTGTCTCGTGGCAAGGTTACAACTCCAGGCTGACTGGAAAACAGCATTAATTCTTTCATACAGTTGCCTCCCTACTCCCAAGTTAGTTTAGGTTATGTTCTCTGTTCTCATTCAGCAAATTTTTCAGGGAAGGTTCTTGGTTGACATACTTTCTTAATCCCTGCTTATTTGAGAATGTCTTCCTTTGTACAGAAATGATAACTTGGCAGGGTACATAATCCTTGGTTCTAAATTATTTTCCCTTAGAACTGTGTAGATATTGTCCCATTGTCCTCTGGCATGTAGAGTTGCAAGAGAAAAATTGAGTCAGCCTGACTTTTGCCTCTTTATAGGTAACTTGCTTTCTCTGTCTAAATGCTCGTAGAATATTTTCTTTATGTTTGAAGCTTAAAAATGTCACCAGAATATGTCTAGGTGTTGCTTTATTTTTGTCAGACTTTAAAGGTACCCTGAGTGCTTTTTCCATTTGTAGATCTAGTTCGCTCTTCAACTCCAGAAAATTTTCTTGGATTAGTTCCTTAATTACCATTTCAGCTCCATTTGCTTTGTCCTGTTTCAGGTATTACTATTATGTGTAGATTGTATCTCCTGGACTGGCTGTCTAGGAGGAACTGGCAGGAGGTTGGAAGGATGTATTCTGCAGCTCCTGCTCTGGGGGCCCACTTCTGGAGCTCCAGGTGCCTCCAGGCTCAGCCAACACCCAAGGGTGCCCTTTTTTTCTCCTCTTTTCTTACCTTGATTTCTTTTCCCTTTTTCTCCGCATTCTGTGAGACTTTCTCCCGTTTTGAATTTTCTTCGGTAGTTCAATTTTGCAAACAATCTGGCTTGTCCTTCTTTCTATTAACTCTCTGAACACCCTGATACTTTTCAAACTCTCTGCCCATTCCTTGTCTATCACTGTGGACAGGTTGTTTAAAACCTGTATTAAATGATTCTTAGACCTTTCTATAGCTGGCACAACTTCTATTTCCAGTGCTATATCCATTTCAAGAGGAGGCATTTTCTTGATTGCTTAGCTCTGTTCCTTTCTTCTGAACTGCAATATTAGAACCTTTTCAGTATTAGGACCATTTCTTAGCAATGAGGAGCAAAAATGAAGATTAAGGGAGGTCTTCCACAGTGGGGAAAATAAAATGTCCAAAATGGTTCCCATGAGAAATTAGTATCTTTCAACCCGTAATCCCCTCTTCCTCCCTGCTAAGGCTAAGTGGGGTTGGGGGTGGGCTTATTCAGTGCCAAGGCATGGGGCAGGGAGTTCTGGACCCCTGTCATTGTCCTCCCATTTGCCCAGGTGCACATCCACACCTGGCCCTTGCTTGTTGAGCCACCTAGCTGCTGCAGTGCCATCATGCAGGCCTGTCTGGAGGCCCTGCCAGTCTGAATATATCTCCTGGGCCACACTAGGACATTGGGGAACCGTGGGGCGGCTCACACAGTTACTGGACTGAACTGCAGCCATTCATCCTCAGCTCTTTGACTCCGCACACCATGAGGGGTTCTGCTGTCCCACCTCCTCTGGCTGGGTAGGGGGCAGGTCTGCAAGGAGGGAGAGTCTTCTCAGGCACCGGTGGGTCTCCCAGCAGGAAGCTGTGCTCTGAGTCCTCAGGTTTCCTTTGCCCCATGCCCTTCAGGATCATGGATTTTGAAACTCAAAACCGGTTCCCCACTTCTACTCTAAATCCTGTCCCTGAGAAAATGACCACTACAGGGTATAGCTGCCCAGTTAGGGAACGAGTTATAGAGCACCAAGAAACAGCAAGGGGAAAAAAGTACCATTGGTTGATTTTCCAAAATAATATACAGTTGCATCATATTTGATCCTCACAAAACTGAGGCTCAGAGGAGCTTAACTTGCTTAAGGACATATGGTTCTCAAATTTGGGAATAGAAGTATTAGAAGTTGTGACCACAGGAGCAGACTTGAGAAAGCGAGTTCTGGCCAGGGAACAGGCACATTCAAAGGGGAAGGGAATGATTGATGGGATGGAAGGAGAAGGCATTACAAAAGGGTGAACAGACAGGATGAGGAAGCACCAGGGACCAGCAAGAATAAGCAGCCAGGAAGCCCTTAGCACCCTTGGGTGTTGGCTGAGCCTGGAGGCACCTGGAGCTCCAGAAGTGGGCCCCCAGAGCAGGAGCTGCAGAATACATCCTTCCAACCTCCTGCCAGTTCCTCCCCCTCTGGAAGCCAGAAGGCACTGGAGCCTGGCTGTGGGGTGCTGGAGCGGGCTTCCACTGGCTGGTGAGTGCCAACTGTTAAATTTTCAGGAATCTTGTGAACTGCTTGTTCACTAATCACAGCCATGATTAAAAATTAAATTACAGAAACTTACAATGAATTACACAAAAAAAGAGAAAATACTCAAAACTTAGCACTTCCTAATTATTTTACTGCATGCTCCTATTACTTGTTCTTGACGTTATGCATGACGAGTGTGCCCGTGCGGTGCAAATGCTATGCAATGTGGGTACCCAAATCCGTGTTCACTGACGTCGCTTTGGTATCTTGAGTATGTACACGCTAGAAATCAGGAAGTGATTTGTTATTGTTGGCTTGACTTACCGTTTTGTGGATTGTCCAGCCGTAACAAAGTGGTGGAGAATATATGTTAATAATGCAAATTAAACTTAGTGGTGTTTTGTGTCTGTATCTATTGAACTGTGATTAGCAACAACAACAAAAACAATTTTGAGAATATGATTTTCCAGTGTTTCAAAACTGTTATCCAGATCAGCAAAGAAGTTGCTTCATTATGAGGAATGAAGTTTCTTAGTCGTTTCACCTTTATCTTTCTTGTTAAGGTAAACAAAAATATCAACCATCATTCATGTACTCCACTCATTCATCAATTGCAGCCACAGACTCACTAGGAACACCAGAGTTCCGCAAAAATCAATGAAAACGTTCTGCGGGAATCAATTTGCTCTATTTATGGAATTTATGATAAGGGGTATTGTATATTTTATTGTTGTTTGTCATGAAAGACTTGAAAGCTGCCTCGTTGCTACTATATTAACAAATATGCATTTCTATTAATAGCTTAATGGGAAAAAAATCTTACAGTCCTCGTTTCTTATTGACATTCATCTATTCAATAGAGGTGAGTAATCTAAGCTGTAA